TGAGCCAAGGTCTTGTCATGCCCGGTCTCCCTGCCAAGATGCCCAGACAATAAATATGGTGATCATGAATGGGAATACTGGCTGCACGCCGATTGATTGTCTGCATGGCTGTGCATGCAGACAACCTATTTTGCATCTTTACGATCGAAGCTTCGCAAACATCGGCAGAAACTTAACGTGTTCGGTAGAGAATACGGGGTGGGTGGCTTGTATATATGGAATGGGTTATGGAGTAGCCGGCATTATTTGCTTGGCTGAATGCTATTCTACTGATATTTATTGAACTTTGATGTTCAAGTTGATGTCGATTATGAAGATGAACGTTGTTTGATCAATAATTGCATCAATACATCATCATACACTGTATCATAACTACACATACAGACAGACAGACAGCGGTCAACACACCGTACATGATTGGCCAGAGTTAATGAAATTAGTATGGAGCCTGCAGCCAAGTCCTCTCCGTAATTAGAATTACGCACGGAGGATTAACTTAGCACGTAGCGCATCTGAAACCGTTACTATGGCGACGCCCGAGCTGCCAACCAGGTACATGAATTCCACAATCTGTATACAAAGTGAGTTGCAACTAGCAAAGCTAAACCAATTGATGACGATATATGGAGAGATTACTTGCAGTGTATCCTGGCCATGCAATTGGCCTAGTTGTAGCATTAATTGGCCAGCGTCGTGAGCTATGCACTCTAACTATGGAGGGCTGAGGTATGACGTCAAGGGAGAGCTGCAAGCGTTTCTCTCACGGAGAGGTCAATTGCAAGAGGAGATATTTGTTGTTGATCAATTCGTTTGATGCTATAAATACATATAGAGTTAGCATATGATTACATCCATTGACTGAAAACTATTCGATACTTGTTTGCAATTGAGAGAATAATGAGAGGGAAGGTAAATTACTTAACAGCCTCTTAATCGGCGCGCCTTGATACAGTGTATGTTACCGCAAATACACAATACATGCATACAGACTTGTAAAACTGGTAATTGCCGACGGTATATAACAGCTAATCCCAGCAGGGAAAGTCTACTCATCTCTTAGTTCCTTAGTGGCCGGATATTGGCCATCTCACTTAAGTTGGCAGTGCGAGCCAATCACTGCGCGCCGATTGCCTTCTTACTCCGTATTATTATAGTTGTATGAGCAGAAAATCTCTCATAGAGATTCATTTGGCGCCAACTGCATGTGGTTAGTGAGTTCTGTGCCTATCTAGTATCTAGTCAGTATCGCATGCTCGCCGAACAGATAACGGAGAATTATTTGGTGTTTGTTTGACAGTTTAGCATATTCCTTGAAACGTGACAGCTGCATGAGCTATCCCATGCCATGGCATATCGCTCAACGCGAATTGACTGTAGCTGTCACTGACAGCGACTTCGTCGTCAAGCTCCGCCAGTAACCACAGACAGTGGAGTGGCCCCATACCAAATCGCCTTAGTAAGATGCTAAGTATGACTACTACGTTAGGGAGCGACCTACCTAGTCCTAGCACAGCAAGTGAAGGCCAGCGCTAGTCATGCTATGACGGAGCTACTATATGGATCTAAATTTTATGGCGTTCTGTTCCTGAATATCGATGATCCACTTGGCTGCTTACTAGCTTGGTAGTAGTGGAAGGAATTAATTTTCCCGATTTTGAAGCTTCACTTTTAATATCGTCGTTTTACTTTTCGCTAGTCGGGGATCGCTCTGTGCTTACTTGCTATAAAAAAGGGAGGAGGTAGAAAGTGATTTGTATGTGAGAATTGTTTCATGGGTGCTGTTTCGAGCATGTCCGTGTTCGGTGAGCTTGTCTTCCCGCGATGTTCCGAGGAGCTTTCTATGCCGATTGACTGGTTGAATTTATACAGGGAGTGTAGAACACATCTAGAACGGAATAAGGATATGACGTTGGATAGGTCTGCAAATACCAAGGACTAAGGAGTCGTGCGTATCTAGTACGTTTTGCCAAAGGATGCGCTTATTACGGAGTACTTAGCAGGAGCAACGCGACGTAGATCATCAAGAAAGACGTAAGCTCTCGTATAACGATAACGGTTAACTATACCGGTGTGTCACTGCATCTGTGGCATATGCATTATAGACATAGCCGATGACAGCAATCCTGACGGAGGGTCAAGTCTCAACGATCGTTATGTTACGTATTCATAAGTAAGCTAGATCCACGCACGACGTGTTCATGTCAAACGGGAACTGACGCCATATAACTACGGCTGGCTGTCAGACTACTCATGCCAATCGGAGGACAGATGAAACAGGCATGGCGGTTTACTAATCGTTTTACTCTAGCCTTAGCTTGTTTGATCAGCTTGAACCTAGCCTAAACACGCAGTATGTATTTGTTAGTTAGACTGTCAAGATGACACAGTTAGAAAGTAGAGCGCAAATAAACAGTCTCGTGACTCGTATGTATGGGTTCTGACTTTTCAGTACAGCAGAGCATGGTTTTCTCCTTCTCCGACTCCGTGGCGTATTTAGATCACACACACGATGATCATGCAACGTACCTGTCCAGACACTAGTCCCAACCGGGACAGCTAGCCACAGCGAAGAAGCTTTCCCCAGAATGGGTCGACTTGCACCTGCGAGGTTGCAAGGATTTGTCGTTCTATGCAATGTGCATATTATGCTGACTCGCTCGTACTATATGCATTGTGCACGGCGTGTGATTGGCCAATGGCTGGGCCTGAACGATCATTGGATATGGGGCGCGCCGAGATGGAGCGGCGGGCCAATCATATTAGCCTATTAGTATTAGGGCTCGATCAGTATCAGTATGCTACGGGCCCCGGCCGCCGAAAATCATGCTCACTTTTGAGAAAATGACGATGCTCCTTTTGAATGTGATAGCCTAATTCAAAGAATTTAGAAACAGTAGAATGGAACAGGCGCATGGTCGCAACTAGTTACAACTAGTACCACGAGTCCTTGAGGCCTTGACTGATATGCTGTTAATCAGCACAACCCCCCTCCCCTCTCCAGAGCCAACCTGTTACTCAGCGGGCTTACTCATATTCGTCACTCAATACGAGAGATGCATGCCCTGTAGAGTGCACTGTTCAGGCAACCCGATTAGCAAGCTTGGCAGGCCCCGTCGCTGTTCCTGAGCGTAGATCATGGAGACATGCTGGGGGCTGATTTGGGTGAAGATTACGGAGAAGACATACTTAGATGACTTATACGGAGTACTCCGGGCATATAGAATATATGATGAATTTACGATATGTCCATACCGCGAGACGTAGTAGAGCGAAGTGAAGCCAACAAGTCCTTGCCACGGCGTTGCCTCGTAAAGATGGATTGTAGAAGGTAGTAGTAGCATAGATACAACATACACACATGCATACATACATAACTCCTCCGGCCAGTAACTAACTAGCTATCAACTATAGTAGTATAAATTATGTCAGATACGTATTCTGCACGAGGCGATACTAACTAGGTACCAGGCAAGCCGTCCGAGCCGACCGAACCGCCGGCAGAGCAAGCCGCTCATCAATAGTATCATTTACAAGTATATAGTATATGCCAATGACAGCCTGTACTCGCCCGGTTACTGCGTATGAGATTTTATGTGCGATGTATGAGAGAATTAGATGTATGACTATATGACTTGCCGACAGTCCGTCTTACCCGCCGGGGAGTCTAAATTTTTTTTTTACGGCGCACACAAAACTTAGGAACCAGAAAAGAAAAAACAACAACAATGCATTTGTTAAGGTGAGAAGAAAATCGAAAAATCGCGCATACAAAAATCTGTCCGACCGCCTTAACCCCAAGACGGGAAGCGCCACTAAGCCCGAAGCAGAAGGGAGGCAAAAAGGAGGAAGCCTTAGGTAAGCAGACGCAACGCACGTAATTCGACTCCCCCCCATAAACTATGGGGAAGACTAGAAAAAAGTGAGAGGACAGAGCACAGGCCGAAAAGAGTGCCACGGCCACGACGCTCGATTGTATCTCACTAACTTCTTGAGGGGCCAGTCGGCACGCCTGTCCCGGGATTCATCGACCCTCCACTTTTTTTGCTTCCCTGGACGGAGTACGTGTTAAGATATCGAAATTGGAGAATACAGATTGCTCAGACGCGATAGCAGGCAGTTAGCAAACACGGCACGCAGTGTCTCTCTCTACGGAGCCGTGGTACTCTGTGCTGTAGCCATCCTGCTCGACAGCGCACACCAAATCGACATGACGTAGACGTAGAGTTTTCTCCAGATGCGCTCCATATATCAACCACGATATAACTCCGTACATAATGAACAGTATATATCGCACCCATGGATGTTGTCAGTGGCTGACCCTGGGATTGTCGCGGAAGTACAGGCCTGGTACGGTAGAAAAACACAAATACCGTATTACGCGTGTGGTAATGCTGGAACCGGCACGCTCTGCCGCGAAAACAAACAAGGCTTCCTGAGGCTTCCGTTTGTATAATGTTGCAGGAGAAACGGGGGTGCAGTACCCAATGAGGCATGGTCAAATTACCATCCCGTCATAGCCGAGCTGTATTCGGAAGGCGGCAAAACCGCTAGGGCGCGGGCAGCGCCCGTTATTGGATGCGATAGGTACTAGTGCCAAACACCAGTAATTTACGCTGGTCCCTCGAAAAGGTGGGCGGGTAATCGTCGGGCGGGCGTAAGAAAAAAAGGAAAAAAGAAAAATTTTTACTTACGCCGCTAGGCCGCTTCGGGCCAGGTACCGTACCGTTTTCCTTTACCGGGCGGATCCCTCTCAGAGCTGTGTCTCTCGCTCTTCTTCCGTCCTCGTCGTTTCCCTCGCTCTCACGTCGCGCCGAAGCTTCTAATAAATAAGACGCCCCCGTCCCCTCCCTCGATCCAACTTTTTTCCCTTTCCCTTCTCTTTTCTTTCTTCTTTCTCATAGGAAACTCTCCCAATTCACCATTGTTGCTAGTGTGTCCCTTCGTCCATTTGCTCGGATCTCGTACTGTCGAGGCTGGTGAGCCTAACACCCATAGCAAAAATGGCTGAACGGAGAATCTCCTATGCGGCCGATGTCGAGAACGGCCAAAACACCCTTCCTACTGATATCAACAACGATGCCCAAGCCCTCGATGAATATACCGCCTTGAACCGTTACATCTCCACCGCTCGCGATCTCCGTCGCGCCTCCGTCTCCAGCGCTGCAGGTGGCGATGCCGCCGGAAAGTCCAAGAAGCCCTGGTGGAAGTTCGGTGGTTCCAGCGGTGCTGCTGTCGACGAGCAGTTCGTGGCCCCCGATGATTGGGTTGACACTGATATCCGTGCTGGTTTGAAGAGCACCGACATTGACTCCCGTCGTCGCAAGACTGGCTGGAACGAGCTTGTCACCGAGAAGACAAACCTGTTTGTTCAGTTCATTGGTTACTTCCGTGGTCCAATTCTTTATGGTAAGTTGGGAGACTTGAACTCGCGGGATTTGAAGCTTAATCGCTTAGTAAGGATGAAAGACTAACGTTTGATTTCCTTGCTCATAGTGATGGAATTGGCTGTCTGCTTGGCTGCTGGTCTTCGTGACTGGATCGATCTCGGTGTTATTATTGGTATTCTGATGCTCAACGCTGTTGTTGGTTGGTACCAGGAAAAGCAGGCTGCCGATGTCGTCGCGTCGCTCAAGGGTGACATTGCTATGCGTGCCTGGGTTATTCGTGACGGTTCCGAGCAGGAGATTCTTGGTAAGATTGAATTATACAACCACAAACAACTCTACTAGTACTAACAGTGGTTTAGCTCGTGAGCTCGTTGTCGGTGATATCGTCATTCTTGAGGAAGGTCAGGTCGTCCCTGCCGACGTTCGTCTTATCTGTGACTTCGAGAAGCCTGGTGACTTCGAGAAGTACAAGGAGTACCTCGCTACCATGCACGACGACACTCTTAAGGAGAAGGGTGAGGATGATGACGAGGAGGAGCACCACACTGGTGTCTCTATCGTCGCCGTTGACCAGAGTGCCATCACTGGTGAATCCCTCGCTGTTGACAAGTACATGGGTGACACTTGCTACTACACCACTGGTTGCAAACGTGGCAAGGCCTTCGCTGTTGTTACTGCCACCGCCAAGCACTCTTTCGTCGGTAAGACTGCTTCTTTGGTCCAGGGTGCTCAAGACCAGGGTCACTTCAAGGCTATCATGAACTCCATCGGTACATCTCTTTTGGTCTTGGTCATGTTCTTCATTCTCGCTGCCTGGATTGGCGGTTTCTTCCGTCACTTGCGAATTGCTACCCCTGAGTGGTCTGACAACACTCTCCTCAAGTACACCTTGATCATGTTCATCATTGGTGTCCCTGTCGGTCTTCCTGTCGTCACCACCACCACCCTCGCTGTCGGTGCTGCCTACCTCGCTGAGCAGAAGGCTATCGTCCAGAAGTTGACTGCCATCGAGTCTCTCGCTGGTGTTGACGTTCTCTGCTCTGACAAGACTGGTACATTGACTGCTAACCAGCTCTCCATCCGTGAGCCCTACGTTGCCGAGGGTGTTGACGTTAACTGGCTCTTCGCCGTTGCCGCCATTGCCTCTTCCCACAACGTCAAGAACTTGGACCCCATTGACAAGGTCACCATCCTTACCCTTCGCCGTTACCCCAAGGCTCGTGAGATCCTTGCCCGCAACTGGATTACTGAGAAGTACACTCCTTTCGACCCTGTCTCCAAGCGTATCACCACCATCTGTACCTGCGACGGTGTCCGCTACACTTGTGCCAAGGGTGCCCCCAAGGCTATCCTCAACCTTTCCGAGTGCTCTGAGGAGGAGGCTCGTCTCTACCGTGACAAGGCTGCTGAATTCGCTCGCCGTGGTTTCCGTTCTCTTGGTGTCGCCGTCCAGAAGGAGGGTGAGCCCTGGCAATTGCTCGGCATGTACCCCATGTTCGACCCCCCTCGTGAGGACACTGCCCACACTATCACTGAAGCCCAGAACCTCGGTCTCTCCGTTAAGATGTTGACTGGTGACGCTATCGCTATCGCTAAGGAAACCTGCAAGATGCTTGCTCTTGGTACCAAGGTCTACAACTCTGAACGTCTTATCCACGGTGGTCTTACTGGTTCCCGCCAGCACGATCTTGTTGAGCGTGCCGATGGTTTCGCTGAAGTTTTCCCTGAGCACAAGTACCAGGTCGTCGAGATGTTGCAGCAGCGTGGTCACTTGACTGCCATGACTGGTGACGGTGTCAACGATGCTCCTTCTCTCAAGAAGTCCGACTGCGGTATTGCTGTAGAGGGTGCCACCGAGGCTGCTCAGGCTGCTGCTGATATTGTCTTCCTTGCTCCTGGTCTTTCCACCATCGTCGACTCTATCAAGGTCGCCCGTCAGATCTTCCAACGTATGAAGGCCTACATTCAGTACCGTATCGCCCTTTGTCTGCACTTGGAAATCTACCTTGTTACCACCATGATCATCATCGAGGAGACCATCCCCGCCGATTTGATTGTCTTCATTGCCTTGTTCGCTGATTTGGCCACCATTGCTGTCGCCTACGACAATGCCCACTACGAACAACGTCCCGTCGAATGGCAACTCTCCAAGATCTGGGTCATCTCCGTCATCCTCGGTGCTATCCTCGCTGGTGGTACTTGGATCATGCGTGCCTCTATGTTCTTGAACAACGGCGGTTTCATTGAGAACTTCGGTAACCCTCAGGGTATCATCTTCCTCGAGGTTGCTCTTACCGAGAACTGGTTGATCTTCGTTACCCGTGGTGGCAAGACTCTTCCTTCCTGGCAACTCGTTGGCGCCATCTTCGGTGTCGATGTCCTGGCTACTCTCTTCTGTATCTTCGGTTGGTTGAGCGACGCTTCTCACGACCAAACCCACCCCCACGACCCAGCCACCTTCACCTCCACTGGCCACACTAGTGTCGTCACCGTCGTTGTCATCTGGGCTTACTCCATCGGTGTTACCATCGTCATTGCTACCGTCTATTCTATCCTCACTGACATCCCCTGGTTGGACAACCTCGGTCGTCAGACTCGCTCCAAGGCTGACACCCAGATCGAGAACCTCATTGGTCACCTCTCCAAGTTGGCCGTTGAGCATGAGAAGGACTCCGTCACTGGCGCTTCTCGCTACGTTCTCGGCACACGTGCTCCTGAGGAGGAGGACGATGAGTAAAACCGTTCCTTCTTGCCATACAAAGCTTTGTGGTCTCGCTTTCGTGACTAGCGCATGAGAAAACAGGAAGTTGCAAGTCAACCGACATGGTGGGAAGTCAATATCCATTCACTTCTAATTGACACCTTTTTTTCTTTTCTTCTTTTCTATTTTCTCTTTTAATTTTCTCCCTCCACATCATATGCTGGGACAGTTTTTCTTTTTTTTTCATCTACAAACTAAAACCCAGCCCCAAATCATACCACCATCAATTTCCTTCTACTCCTGTCTCTGGTTATTGCCAGCACTCCGGACTACAAACTTTCACACGCAAAACGAAGAACTGCGCACACACATAGACCCTTCTTTCTTGCTGGAAAGTGTTGTACATCTTTTTTCTTGCCCCCTGCTTTCTCGCCGTTGGGTTTTAATAGAGCTTTTTTTCAAACTTGCTTTGTGTGTTAATTTTTATATGTATGTATGGTTAATACCGGTAAATCCAAGTTTTTATTAAACCTTTTCCCCCATGGGACGTAGGTTAAAAAAGGACCGTACCGAGACTCTGAAGTACCTTGGTCCCATGTCATCTATTTGCCTTTCGGATTTCTATCTGTGGTCATGCGACATAGGGTGGCTCTGCCGGTGTTCGTCGTATGTATATCATAATATGCTTCTACACCATATCATCCGTATCAGAACATCGTACTCGTACCAGAGAGGCTGAATACGAGCTCTGCTCACGTGACGCCAACTCCTGACGCGGCCTCCCTGATTGGGCCAGGAGCCCACTATACCTCGGCGATCCCCCGAGGCAAAGAAAGCTGCAGCCTGCCAAGTCGCCATTTCCAACTTTTCTTTTACCATGGCCTCCTGCAACCTATCTCTCCAAAAACGCCGTGGACGATACCGTCTCTCCCTTTTGAATTGACATCCTTCAACGCCAAAGCCCCGTCACCTAACACTACCCCTACTCTACATGGAGTTGAAACACGCGACTGCGACCTAGACCTCCTGCCTCGTCAGCCTCATGCGTCATCAGGTGTACCCGATTGATATTGGCTGTGCAAAAAGACAACCAAAGACGTTTACGATTGCCTCGCGACACGCTGATTGCCGGATCGGCTCGATTTGTTTGATGCTGCTGCTGCTGCCATGATTCTGAAAGTGCCGCTCAGGCTGGTCAAGAATATAGTCGGCTGCTTCTTTCTTGTGCTGTTGTTGTTTGCTCTGTATATGCGCTATGATTACGATAATTGGTATCGCTCATCGGGGGATAGGGCATTGGCTCGCATGAATTTCTGTGGGTATTCTTTTCTTTTTTTCTTGCTTACTCCTAATCCTTCTGCATTTCCTCTCTAACTGAGTGCGTATTCTTCTAGCAAATGCGCATCTCCCAGCGTCGCCTCTATCGACTATAACTGCAGTAATAACAGCAACAACAACAACAACAACCACAGCAATAGCTACAACAGCGAGAACAGCCCGGAAAGACGCAACCCTTATAATGCTAGCTCGCAATGAGGAGCTGGAAGGTGTGCTGTCTTCGATGAGACAGCTGGAGAGCTCGTGGAATAACAAATACCATTATCCATGGATATTCTTCAACAATGAGCCGTTTACCGACGAGTTTAAGGCGCGCACGCAGGAAGAGACGAATTCCGAGTGTCGTTACGGTATGTTTAACTCAAAAACATGTGAAGGCGGAGTTCCTAAACGTGGTGCTAGAACTAATCCCAAAGGAACATTGGGATGTACCCGAATGGATCGATAGTGAGCTCCTTGAGACATCGATGCGGAGGATGAAAAGTCAAAGGATCAAATACTCGGCTCGGCTGGGCTATCATCAAATGTGCCGATGGAACTCGGGCTTTTTCTACCGACACCCAGCCCTGGAAGATTATAGATATTACTGGCGCGTTGAGCCGAATGTGAAGTAATGAACACATTCCACCATCCACACGAGATACTTGTTCTGACTGATGATAAGATTCTTCTGCAACCTCGACTACGACCCGTTCCAATTCCTTGCCGATAACAACAAAACATACGGTTTCACAATCAACGTATACGACGACCCCCTATCAATCACCACCCTTTGGCCCGAGACAATGACCTTCCTAGACGCTCATCCAAACTACCTCAGCGCTGATAATTCGATGTCATGGCTAACAGACCGCACGCTGCGCCCTGAGCACACCGAAGCCGCCAATGGCTACAGCACGTGCCATTTCTGGAGCAATTTTGAGATTGCAGACATGACATTCTGGCGCAGTCCGCAATACCAGGAGTACTTTGAGCACTTGGATCGTGCGGGTGGGTTCTTCTATGAGCGCTGGGGGGATGCGCCTGTACATAGTGTTGCGTTGGGGTTGTTTGAGGACAACTCTCGGATTCATTGGTACGTTTCTCTTTATACCTTTATATTTGTCTGTCGCTAACGCTTTATTAGGTTTCGAGACATCGGCTACCAACATCCTCCCTTTATAAACTGCCCCGACACCCCGAATTGCAACAGCTGCCAAGCAAATATATTCACGCACAGCTGGAGTGTTATAAATGAAGACTGTCGCGTAAACTGGTTTAAGCAGATGTGCGAGAGTCGTCGGAAACACAGCACTAATAATAACCTAACCTCTGAGGAGGAGGAGATATGTCGTCAGCTATATTCTATTAGCTGACGATATATCAATCTTTTTTTATAAATGTACACAAGTTTGGGTAACTATTTTGAATAATATGTAAAATAAACAAACAAATAAATAAACAATCTTAAATAAATAATTTCTTTCCCTTTCCACAGACATTTGCGAGTCAAAAAAATAAAATCAATAAGGTCAAAAACAACCCCGAAGGACCCCCGCAAGCTCACTTCCATACCCATACATAAAGTCATCCGAAACTGGCCACGGGTCTATTGTCGTTGTTGCCGTGGTCATCATATTCGTATACCCTCCTGCCTGCGCATCAAGTGCTGCGGTGGTGGCATCGCCCATGTTGGTGTTGATTGCCGGATTCGGTGCGCCGATTGCCTCGAACCAATCCATTAGTTCGCGGCTCACTTGCGTTCCGTCCGTGAGGAGAAAGTCGTTTGGGGAGGCGAAGTCTGGTATTGCTGATTCTTCTTGCTTTTTGAGCATGGATGTCTGTTCTGGCTTTGTTTCGGGTTGTGGCTGTGGTTGGGTTGGTATGGCGTTATTCCCTTCTACTCCTATCTTAATGCCAGTTTTGGGCCCTGTGAGCTGAGTACTGATGAGGCTGGGTGAATGACTGTTTTCATCTTTCGCTGGTTGTGTTGCCGGTGAAACATGTTGTTGATACTGCTGCTGCTGCTGATTCTGAGACCAGAGTCCAATCTGAGGCGCCAATCTTCGCAGTCCCTTGATCGATTTCCACAATCTCTGCGAAATATACGAATGGATTGAGAAGTCCTCAACCAGTCCGAGCGCCATATAAAACTCGTCTTTGCACTGGCTTGTAAACTGAGCGGGTGCATGCGCAACGGCGAGGAATAGTACTGCTAGTGCAGAGATTAGGAACCAGTTGAATGCTACCTGCTGTAGTTGGTAGATGTCTGTGGATTGGTTGAGGTGTGTTATGAAGCGTATCATATCCCTGGCGATGTCGACGACCGTCGATGCTTCGACGGGGGATTGTGCGACGAGTGCTGGTGTGTGGAGGATGGGGCGGTAGATGAGGATTTTCATTAGACTTGCACGTAGGTATAGAAGTGCTTTGAGACGCCAGATGCTTCGGATGCTGTCTTGCTGGGGGTGTTGGTCGTGCTGGATTTTGTTGCTGCTGTTGGTACTATTACTGGCTGGTGTGTTGCTGTGTGGTAGTTTGAGGAACTCCGGTATCGAGTTGTACCACTGCGTTACTTGCCAGTCGAGGTATGCCATTTTTTCTTTTCGGGCGTGGTGGTTGCTGTGGCTCGATGAGGTGATGAATCTCCATACCTTTTCTGCGATACGGTTGTAATTTATCATTGTGTTTAAGTAGGGGGTATTGACCTTGATTTGTTAGGATTATACATACCAAGCGCCCCTGAGAGCTGTAAGGAAAGGAAATAAAACTCACCGGCCGCGGTAATGACGGGTCTATGTCATTAGAATCAAGATGATACGGCATTCCCATTCCCATGCTGAACCTCATGTCCAAGGTGTATATAGACCAGAAAAGTTTCAACACACCTTCCTTTCCATATGATATAATAGCATGCTGTGGGTAAGTCTCTGATCGATGCAGACCCAATTCCAAGCACAATCGTTGAGCTATTCCGACAGTTCTCCATGCGATTGACTCTTCATCCGTTTGGAAGTAATATATTGACTAGCACGAAGTTAGTGACGAACAAATATACCGAAAAAGCAAGTAAAATTATAAGTTGAAGCGCACCACAAGAGTGATAATCACCAATCTCTTTATACTGGGACGCTTCCACACCAAATGCGAAGCAACATCCCTGACCCCACGAAAAATGCTCATTGCCAACTCGCTCTTCCCATTCGCTTCAGCAGTCAATGCACATGCAAAAACAAGTTTGAGAATGTTGATATCTTCGTCTGAAAGTGGTTGTTGTTGCTGTTCTTGTTTGCTTGTTTGAGCAGCAGCAGCCTCGGAAAACGGCCTGAGGTGGGTATAAAGCGTATTGATCTGATTTATGATCGTTTCCGGATCCAGTATCGGATACATAATACCCATTTCTTCATCGTAAATACGAAATAACCTTATAGCTTCGTCCCTATTGATGCCCCATAATGGGTCGATAGAAGACCTTCGATGATGATGCCGGTCTCGACGCGGCGACAGCGATGGGGCGGGCATTGGCGATGGACCATTATCCTCCTCCTCCTCATCATCACTGTCACTGGCTGATTTTCCTGCTTCGGTAATTCCTCTACTCCGCAGGGTCTGCTGCGCAATGTCAAAGTTGAATGAAGACGTAGTCAGTCCATGGTAAGAAATGTTTTCGCCGGTTGTTGTCGTTGTTGTCGATGATGACGACAGATTTTTGCTTTGAAGCGAAGATATCGTGCCTTGCAAGGTCTGCTTCTGCGCTGAGGATAAAGGTGGTGATGATGCTGGATTTGTTGAATTGAATGATTCTACTGTGCCGGTTAAGGTGTCGATTTGGGTTTGCATTTTTTGGATTTGATCCAGTAGTTTTTCGATTTGTCTAGTAGAAGTGAAAATAAGCAAATATATATCAAGCGCAAACCGATGACGATAATATAGTTTAGAAACGAACTTACCGACTATCCGTCGCGTCATCCGGCGCAAACACGCAATCCATCATTCGCCGCCGACAGCGCTGACATGGCTGTTCGCCGCAGCATTTGACCTTTCGCCGTTTGCATTCGATGCTATGCCGAGTACACTTTTAGTAGTGGCTCATCTCCTCTCCCAACCGGGGTCATAGTTTGGATGCGAATTGTAGAGAAACCCACCAAGCTTTTGCCGCGTATTTAGTACGTTTCCGCTTCTCGGGCACGGCGCTGGCACTGGCGCTGGCAGTAGCATCAGCGTAAGTGCTTGTATTGGCGCCCTTCAATTGAGCTATATAATTCTCTGGTGGAGAAGGCATGAGTGAAGAGCTAGATATATCGATGTTCTTTGTGTCGTCGTCATCGCCTTTGTTGGAGGAGGTCAATTTATGATCGTCCCGGCCCGGCAATCCGGGGTAAGGGGGGCCCGAGCACGGGAGCTAACCAATCTTAGTATGGCGGGATACCGCCACTCCTGCGCATTATTTGTATGTATGTGTATCATTTTACTTAAGATGAGACTTATATTCTATATCTCTATCAACTATTAAATGCCATAGCACGAATTCGTTGCTTGAATCACTCTACATACTGTTATATTGGCTAGATATCAATTTATCTACGTACATAGCACTTATAGTATGCCAAAATTTGCCTCTGAGAGGGACACGATAAATCACACATGGACTTTTAGTACCTAGACAATAATCAGAAGTTAAAGATCATTGGTTCGTTCCTGGCTAGCCGCAATCCATTGCTCAAGTAGCTTTGGGTCTCTCGCCTTGAATCCAATCTTGAACGGCTTGGGCTCCGTAGTGAGCGCTGTAGGGATGGCATTGCATTCGAGGGCGTTAAGAATCGGAAAATCAGACGGATTGGAAGGTGGATGGATAGTGAAGGCGGCTATAAGGCGGATAAAAGCTGTGTATAGTTCTCTGTTGCCCAAATGTGATCCTGCGCACATGCGGGATCCAGCGCCGTATCCATAGTGTGGCGTGCCCTGGTTGGCTTCTGGGGTGTCGAGGTAGCGCTCTGGAATAAATCTTTCAGGCTCTTTGAAGTAGGATGAGTCGTAGTCAGCGGCCCAGGCGTTCTATCATGTTTGTCAGCGCTATTGGTGAATATAACAGGGGAGGAGATAGACGAGGGAACCGGCACTCACCATGAAGAAAGTTGTATTGGCGGGGATAACGATATTGTTCCATGTAACTTCTTTGACACTTTTACGTGGCAGACAGATCGGAATTACCGTCCAAAATCGAAGGATCTCTTTGACCAATGCCGTGACATAGGGTACTTTCTCTTCCACTAGACATTTGTCCCAGGCATCGTTATCCGGGTACACTTTCAGAATTTCTTCATAAGCCTTCTTCTGGATGCGTTGGCCGTCCTCAGAGGCTAGATAGGCCAGGCCCATGACCAAATTGCCCGGCACAGTGTCAATGCCCGCAGAGACCATGGTCAGGCAAAGGGATTTAATCTCCGCTGTGATGAACATAGTTAGGACGTGGACACGCACACACAATAAAAGAAGAAAAGAAATTAGACAACTTACCTTCGTTAAGATTAACTTCTGGGTCTTTGAGGATATTTCCTGTGATACAGGGCTTATCCGTGCCATTTGCAATTTTCTCCTTTAAAAGATCTAGGAAATGGGTCAAGTACTTATCGCGACGAACTCGAAACTCTTCAGCCTCATGGTTCACCTTGGGAAATAGACGCAGCAACGGAACATAGTCCTGCCAGTTATTACTGGTGCTTCGGAAGTTAGAAACGCCTCGCTCAACAGCAACAACCTCCTTTAGTAGACTGTCTTGGATATTGCCATCAATGCGTATGCCATAGTTCAAAGTGAGACTAGTATTAAGCGCGAAGCGTTGGAAATAGGGAATTGGGTTAATATCTGTTCGGCCTTTGCGACTGTCATTGTAGATGCCTTGGATACTCGTGGTTGCTTCTAGGTCGATGATGGGCATGTAACTCTGCACAGCCGGTTTGTTGAGTGCTGTAGCCGCGGCTTTGCGACGGCGCTTGCACGACTCATCCCAGGGAGAAGTTCCGATGGTGAATCCCTGAGAGCTCGACACTACGCTGTGGAAGGTGTGGAAGGTTGGTCGGGAGATGAGGGCGGATTGCTCTTTCAGCCACAGTTGCTTTACGGATTCAAAACTGTTTGCAAATACAATTCTCTGTGTCATCGATGTTCTGTCAGTATAATTAATTACTTTACAAGCCAAAAAAAATAAATAAAAAGCCCACCTTATTGCCCATCCGCACCTGAAACACAGGCCCGTATTTCTTCGCCCACTCGGCGGCTACTTTTGCATGATTATTGCCGAGCTGGATTAAATTGCCAAAGATCGGCACGCCGGGGACCTCTGGCAGGCCCTTGATCTTGGGGACATCGGTCTGGTTGAGGTAGCGGTAAAGGAGCACTAGGAGGGAGATGACAGCGATAGTGATGGTTTCGTGTGCCATGCTGTAGGGCGTATATGCGCTAATCAATCAATATACATTGGACTTGGATCTGGAAAAATTAATACACAGACAGAGAGGTTTCTGGCGAGAGATAAATACCTAGGTTAATGCACTAATGCAAGTATGCGACGTACCAACGTGATAGCTGTGCAGCACGGAACGGGTCCCGCATGTTGTAGCCATACTTCAGCAATAGAATGCAACTACTACGTTATTTACTGACAGTATAACTAGTCATGGTAGCCAGTTACCTAAGTATGATATAGGTAACAGATCTGTGTCGCAATGAGCGTTTGGTGGCGCTGCTTGAATGGCCCAGCACGTGACCACTCACTCTGGGATCCCAGAGCGCTTACAGCACGCCCTGAACCATCCAACACACTCTATGAGCTGGATATTGTATGACGCGATTTAATAGAGAATGGGATGATTGGCCTCAGGCATCAGATTTTTATAGTAGAGGGCGAGTTAATAAAGGGGGCTTCTATGACGGTGATGCGATTTAGAAAATTTGGAGGGGCTAGAAAAAAGGAGAGAATAGTATAATGTAAAACAACCACGTTGAGATTGATCATTGTAAGAGAGAAGGTAAAAATGAACACCATGATAAACACAGAGAAATCAAGGCTAGCATTTAAGCAGCAATAGATCTCTGAAGGATAGAAACAGCCGCCTCTTTTAGTACTGCTATAACCACCAGTCTAGTTAATGGCGCTGAAAACATGAATTACTCCTTTCTACAAGCCAATTTTTCTCCTCTAATCTGATTATATCACATTATACAGTCAACATCGTGTTGCTTTACATTGTTGGGATCATCATGATTACAGTTGAAATTATGAGGCAGCAAAATGTTTTCATCGGATGCGTGAGAGTACGAATATAGCAAGTCTCAACTCGGAAGAGTATTTTCCTGAAGGTCTTAAATCTTCTTATCAAGCTGACGCCGTTTGCGCTTTAGTGCCTCTTTATCACCAGCAATACTCTCAAGCTGTTCTCTAAAACGACTTCCCGCAAATGAAGGAGACAACAGTCCCATTGGAGTTTCTGCACCTGTCACGAGATGCTAGTGTACAGCTTGGATACGAATATAGTCACACCACTTTTGGGCTACTTCGTAGTAGGACTTTATTATGCCATGTATCCTGCACGGTATGCCTTCCATTGCTCATTTGGTGCTGCTGGGTTATGCCTTGCAATCGAACCACCTTGCCTTGTGAACAATCATCAAATGCTTTCCTCGCTCCAGCGGACGAGAGCCGTTTTTGTCATCTATTTCCGGGGTCAGTAGTATTTCGAATGAGCGGTCGTCTAGGTAAATTTAGATTTCTCAAGATTATAGTTGAGGTAGTTGTTGAGAGACCTGGGTGTGCTTGACCTTTCAACATTGAGAAGAAAATCCACTTCTTCAATAGCATCCTGTATCGATCCAAAAGCCTGTCTATCAAAACGACATAAAGTTGCGCCGTACTCGATTATGTGGACAAGCTATATCTAAAGCTTTCAATATGAATTTGTGTGTCATGGTAACCATGTCGCTGATATAGCCATGTGCAATTGATATGCAATGGTTAAATTGCTATTTCATGGTCATGGAAAGCAGGTAAAGCAGAATGTGCCAATTTCAAAGCCTCACAAGTGTCCCACGTAGCTTCAATGATGCCTAGTTTCGAGCCCCGTGGCTGAATGACTTTTGTAAGTCGGAGACGATAATCAACGGCCTGGAATAAGGATTCCCAGTCGGAGCTGTCGCGCTCTTTGCCATTTTGGATTTCCCACATGGCGATATCGAAGGATCTAGGACCTCATTAGTATCTATTGAGGAGGAGTTAGTTTCTAGATAGAATCACTCACCGAAGTGTTGCCTCCTGATTTAGTGGAACAGTTTCAGGCTCAGGAAGTATAAGCTCGTTGACAACGACGCGAGCGCCCTGTTTCAGAGCTGGAATTAAAGACCTCAAGATCTTGATACAATATTTGTCGGACCAGTCATGGAGAATCCACTTGAATAAATAGACATCGGCATTTTTTACTGGCTGCTCCGTGAAGAAATCATATTCCATAAACCTCAACCGCTTCTCAAGGCCCTCTGGAATCTTTGCAGACGCGATAACTTCAGGAAGATCTTGGACAATGCACGTCACATTCTGGTACTTGCAAGCTAGAGAAATTGCAACATCACCATGGGAGCCACCGACGTCGACGACAGTGACAGGATCGTTTACCGAAGAAGTCCAGTTGTAGTGCTCAACGATGTATTTTGTCTCCATGCCTGGGCTGGTGTTGAAAAGCGACATGGCCTCCGCAAAACGTTTTGCGCGCTCTGGCTCCTTGCCTAGGAACTCGAGCATGGGTTGATCGACGTTGTGGGCAAGATTGAAGCCCTTGTATATGTAATGATTAGCATGTCATGTTTGGATTAAATTCAGTTGTACACGTCTGCTCTTACGCTTTGATTGGGTTCCTCTGAGTTGGGCCATTTCTGGAGTGCGTCGACTACCTACGCACCAACAAGTTAGCGCCTGGTTGTTCTTCTGTCATTTTCTCTCTCGAATATTTGTGTGTTACCTTCGTAGCAGCAGGCCACATCTCCTCCAACACCATGCCAACCCATTGGCGAATTGCATGGTTATTAGCAAACAGCTTCGAAGCAGAGGTATGTGCAATTTTGCCATCAGGGGTCTGACGAAAGATACGATGCGCCATGAGATCGCGCACAATACGAAGTAGTGTAGGCCCAGTCAGTCCGCAAGCAGTTGCTAGTTCGGTGTATGTCACTTCCTCTTTACCCTCTGGGAAGGAATTTGCGATTTTAAATCGATACATTGCGTGTATGCTCGTCTGGACGTTGTGCTTATGATCAGTCAGTACAGTTGCTTCCCTCAGTTATTAGAAACATACGGATGGCGCCATCAGTGCGTTTGCTGGCCCCGCCATCAGGGCGTGCAACTCATCCGTCGCAAGAAGAACGGCTTGACGAGCTTCTTCAATGTCAGGTGGGTAATCGTAGGTTGTCGGCGCGTTAGGTTCGAAGGATTGTGTAGGTAGGTCGTTTTCTTCGTTGAAACGGTTGATTTTGGCAACGTTTCTAGAGATGGACGTCGATAGTTCTGTGATTTTTGTCGTGCAAGTCATGATGACTGCTGATATCTAATATCAACCCTTTTCGTCGATAGTGCTTTGTCAGAATCGAGTAGGTTATAGTAGGATTCAATAGCTGGCGCGATGAGAATCAAAGGGTACAGGGCTTCACCCTGTCGCTTCAAGAAGCGAATCGTGTCAGTGAAGAGGATGAAGCGAGCAAGGAAGGCGGCGGTGGTCGAAGTCATATTCGACACCTCAATTTACAGGTTGACAGAACAATACCACGGTAAATACCACGGTAACACAAGCAAACAAAGAACCAAGCAGTACACAAACGCCAATAACTGAGCTGAGTAGCTGAAAATTTGTGAAACAATGCCTTCGAATATTTCCGAATGTGCCTCTTCAACTTGGGTGTCCTTCTTATCAGCAAGATTTAGAGCTGGCTTACGAGCTTATCAACCAGTTGACCTAACTGACCCACGAGCTAACTACCACTGAAGCCATTTACCATAACCCCTCACTGATGTCTATACAGATGTGAGTTATGATCAATTTGTTTCGTCTAGGCTACAATATAACGATTTCTTAGATTATTTAAGGTACAGTGTAGTCCCCTACGTCGTAGTCGCAGGTAGATACCTAGGCCGCTTAGGGCTTGAGACCGATAACCCTAATCATCAACAAAAAACCTAACACGAGACTGTTCTTTTAAAAGCAATATTGACGTAAGAAATATGAAAAATTTTCTAGATATAGCTTAATATCAGGTCTCACTGCATGCACCTTTACGTTGCATAGCATCAATGTCTCGCTCCATCATTTCATCCAAATTTGAGATTCGATAAATATACCAACCCATTAGTCCCGCCTGCGGTAGATTCGTAGTTATGCATCAGCAGCTGAAAAGCTGTGCAACTACAATGCCTTGCCAACATCTCTCAATTTGACTGTTCGATCCCAACCGTCGTAATTGCCCATGTGAGAGCAATTCACCTACTCTTGAATCGACGCCTTTGTAGCCTTTCTGCATCTCTTTCACTAACAATGGCATTATTGCGATCATCAATGTTTTACCATCCTATTGACGAAGCACATATTGACGAAAATCAAGGAAACTTCAATAGGAGGTCAATATTTGTTCTTCGATCGTCATGGCTGTCGCTTTGGTTGATCTTTATAACGTCTCTATTAGCCCTAACAGCCGCATTTGCTGCTGGGATGCATCAAGCACATCTGTATCCTCCATCAGACATTGACTCAATCATGAAAAGTAAGCGGTCTTTATTATGGTGGGGAAATCTCCGACTAAACAACTGTGTCGTACTTTAAGTCGAAACAAGCTCTCAGATCCTCACGTATAATCAAACATTCTCCAAACGACCATCTCCAAACAGCGATTCCGCCTGGGAAGCCATTTTGCCCCTTCAAGGTGGCTTTTTCAGACATCCAGTTATTGCGAATGAAAGGTCTGCATTTTCTGTGTTTCATCAGCTACATTGTCTGGTAATGTTTCCCCATCCTGCTCATCTTGACCTTCTTTAACAGGTTTACATAGAATGGCATTCGGATAGCATATTGGACTCTCCATGACGCTGCTCGAGAAGGCAAAACGTTGCAAGAAGAGGATATTCCCATGATGTCTTCTGAAAGACATGTACGGCATTGCATTGATTTATTGCGGCAAACTTTGATGTGTAATGCGGATTTCACTGTTGAGAAGAAAGATCTGGGCGTAGGAGGGGTCTTGGGTTTTGGGACTGAGCATCAATGTCGGAATTGGGAGCAGATTCTGAGCTGGATGGCGGAGTGGGAGGTTTATGGGCAGGCTGATGAGAAATAAGAGTATGGAGTCGGTCTTGAATTACGACTTTTGATATTTGGTCTCAATGAAAATTAGGATAGATTTCTTGAGATACAGCCTATGACAATCATTGCTCTATCCCGCCAAATAAAGGATTCCTCAACCTTCGTACTTCAGCCTCATCAACCTTTCGATCCTTTACTGATTTCATCAACGCATCAAAATCAACACATGTATGTAACGACGAGTGTGTGTTAAACATTGGTCTCCTATCGCTCACACTCCATCGAAAGGTTGTCAGCGATGGATCTGGATGGCAGAGGACTGCCTGTCGTAGAATATCTAAGCAATGATCTGAAAATCATCAGTCAGCCACGGTGATATACAATCTTCCAATAACACGAATAGGCAAGTGGTGGAATGTACCGGCATGAGGCGACAGATGTCTATACTCCATATCTGTCATATTAGGATGATAGTAACCACGATATATCCATTTCCGTAGCATGTTCTGTTTTTGTAAACTCAAAATGAGTGCTAAACCGGTATGGAAAAGGAAGTACTTACTATACAATGAAGCTGATGATAGACATCTAGCCATACCAAATAGCGATCACCCCCTTCCAGAGAAACTGACGTCTGGCCTTGACTCACCAACTCCTCTGCTGATGCTCGCATGTGCATACCGGAAAGTAATGAGTCCCACGCACAATCCACTTCGGATCCGGGTGCTTGAGCATATGGACTGTCGCGATCGCTTATGAATGGCTTTGGGATATAGCGGATCATTAAGTCAGGAAAGGGGGCTGAAGATTCGTCTTCTTCTCAGTTCCCGTTCCTGAATGTGTTGCGCGAGATGGTGGAGGAAACTTCAGACTAACCATTTGAATATGCGGTCATGGGCTCCCTTGGCATAAATGCGAAGAATATCAAGACTGTAATCAATACACCTAAGATGCAGCCCCATAGCAGAACGAGAAGTAACTTCCATTTCTGTTTTGCGGTCTCCCGGTGGTCCGTATCATTCTCATCTTTGGTGAGGAAGGGCTTAATTTCTGACTCCATATTCTTAGTCAATTCCCATTTAAACAATTGGCTTTTGATGATTGAAAGTATGATTGAAAATATGATTAAGAAATGAGAAGAAAGATCGTTCTTCTTGGCCCAAGCAAACTCTCCTCAGATCAAGTTCAAAACGTTTACAAACTATCGATATCATGTCTGTACTACTACAGTTGCAAAGAAGAACATTGAAAGATCTGCTTTATCAAGCCCATCACTCTTCTCATTCAAGTGGGCAGTATGATGAATGCCTGACTTTCTTTCCCATAAATTAGTCCTATCCAGATAAGAGAAAAGACTGCTACCTGAAGATTGAGCAGAGGTCAAGGTAACACAGACAGCTGTGATCGTGTGAACAAGTTGCAGAAGCTGAATTCTAAGTTTCAAGGTAGTCGAGAACATGCGGACCTAGGTAATGTTACGCCAAAAAGTTTCATCATTTCGACTGTACACCGTCCATATTTTCGGATCCTCGCATTTGGAACATATGACAGGTCATTGGAGGCCTTACATGAGGTAGATACTGACCGCTCATTCTCTCGAGTTTCTGGGCACGTTGTACGCTCGGGGTTAGACTTGAGGAGGTGTGCTGTGTTACCTCGATAACTTCCTTTGCACTTTTAAATCAGAAGGAAGAGGACGTAGTAAATGAACTAGCTTTTATACTTCATCACTTCTTTTCAATGTTCAAGTAAATATTGATCATCTAGTTAACAGTCAACCTCTAGCTTCTGACCAACATTTCACCTCATATCCGAAGTGAAAAAAAAGAGGAAGATACTCGACGTATTTTCTCCGCTATTCGTGAAAGATTGCTATAATAATTCCTAATTTTCAACATGCGTTCTTCTGTCTTCCTTATACTCAGCTTCGGTGCTTCTCTCGCTATGGCATCGCCCATTGCCAAGCCTCGTTCTGGTATGTCAAGCCTCATGAAGCTCAGGAGACTATGACCACTCTTGAGAGCTTCGTTTCTATATTTCAGGACCTAGATTAAAAAGATGAAATACTGATATGTTACAGCTGTCGAGGATACTGTAGCTTATCCCGACGCCTACAAGGATATACACGCACGAGATGAGGTCGTTGTAGCATATCCCGATGCCTACAAGGACACTACTGGACATTGAGTTATTATTTGCCAAATCGATGCTTAGAGGAGAGTCAAGCACTTAAAGGTAAGCCTCAGAGTACCCTCTTCTTCTACTGGTTTTAGACGAATTTGTTTAACAGGTATGTATTTATAGGGCAGAACAGCCGCGTGTGTGTTGGGCGTTTATTCTTGTCCTTTCTCTTCTTATTCTACAATACAAAGTACGCTCTACTTGTGTGAGCATTGGCTGGACAATTATATAGTATATATCGGTCATTACATGCATGCAGAGCTTGAAGGTTTATCAGATGTAAGCTCATGATATTTTCTTTTTTACTTCAATGAAATATTATGAGAACGCCCCAAAGCCTACTAGCTATTTATAGTGAAACAACCATTCATATCTTGATCTCGTTTATTATATAGGTACTGCGCATAGTGGTAGTTCCTGACTGAGCTCACTGAGGAAGCGAATACAACATTCCTAGTTGTATAGCATCTAATCTCCAGATGAATGATTTTGATATCTAGACAGAAACCAAATTCTCTGTAGTGAGTATCTTGAATAGTTAGAAACACCCTTGCTTAGGTGATTGTCCAGCGGAGAATGGTTTGTGTCACAGCATGGAGCCCACTATCGGAATAAGCTGATATCAAGAAAGTCATAGTACATAAACGTAGGACAATGTGGTCACATTGAGCACCTATACAGCATCACAAATGCTACCTCTTTACTTGCTTGTTTAATTGGTTTTAGTGCTACTGGTGGGAGCACAATACCCTTATCCATCCTTTCACCTGGACACGTTACTACTAAGCCACCAAAGATGCGAAGGTGTTACACAAAAACTATGTAACTCATTAAATTCTACTCAACATTAGATTCTTTAGCTTCCGTATGTCCTCTTCATCAACCTTGCGATCCCGGGCTGACCCTATGAAGGTATCGAAATCGACACAGGTGTATACAGGCGAGTGTGTGTAAAACATGGGTCGAGGATCATCCATACTCCATCGAAAGGTTGTCAATGAAGCAGCTTCCATTTTATTTTGCCATAGTACCGGACCTCCCAGCTTGACTCGAAAAAATGGCTTTATTTCGGGTATTGATTCCCTTTTTGTATGTTATATCAACTTCGCCCTGATTATAGTCCTTCAGATTGGAGCAGTCTTAGTTTTCGGAGTCAGCGCAAATGAAAATTATTCCAAACCATTTTGGCTTGGATAGCTATATCCATGCACTTTTTGTGCTCACCGCTATTTCATATTGCAGGTACATGTTACATTATTATGTGCTAATTGATTGTTACAAAGTTGCGAGGAAAAAGTGAGTCTTCGTACACGACTTCGGTTCAAATCACAATGAGAACCAATTTCCCTGATTTGTTGTTGCACCACATTGGCGGTCTTGCATTTGCGCATCAAATCCTACTTCATGTCTTGGCCGATAGGTTATTCGAGCTGCTGATGCGATTCTCTATCCAACCTTTGAAGCCAAAAGACCCTGCTCCTCTTATTTATACCTCGTGCTTTCCTCTTTTTCATTGTAGGCACATCACCTAGTTCTAAATCTGATTAAAGCCATCATAGAAAATCAATCAGACTTCTAGTTCAATTCTTTGGCTATTGTTTATACCTAGGTACTTAAGATGCGTTCTCCCGTATTTCTGGTTGCGAGCTCCTGCCCTGCTTTTGCTCTCAGCTTTCCCCTTATCAAAGAACGTTCTGCAGTGTTAGCTTGTAGCGTCATTCTTGTCTTTAGACTTACTAATAGCTAACAAGAAATTAGAAGCTGATGTGGCGTATCCTAATGTGTATCTGGATGTTTCTGCCTTAGCCCATCCCGGTAAGTACGTAAGGAGGGATGAGTCGGCCGTTGCTTATTCTGATGGCTACAAACAAGCCTGGGAAATAGACTACTGGATGCGTTCATATTTTATTTCATTACATTAACATGGGTAATGGTCTTCAGGCCACTGTTGTTGAGTCACTTTTGGAAGTTAGGGTTAACAGAAAATGTCTTCATCTATCTCTTGTTTGACTAGTCAATCCTATACAGTGGCATGGACTGGTATGATTTAACTGTGACGGGGCATATTTTTTTCCTAGATGCAAATGATCATCAACTAGTATTTCCTTGAGTGAATATTAGATATTCCAAGTCCATATCTTTGCCAGTAATGTCTCTCAGATGATACTAGGTTTGGCGCGAGGGACAGCACTGAATATGGCATGCTTGAGGTTTCACGAGGGGCTGAAGGGTCCGAGTACTAAACCAGTTGAAATGCAGCCAGAGGTATGCTGCGGTGTACCTTATTGTATTACGTGGTTAGAAAACTTTCAACGCATATGCTCCGAGACAACCCTTCCATCTGTAAGCATGCAAAGGGCCTTTGTGCGAGTCTACCTATGCCTATCTATTCATATTACATAGGTGATTCTCCTGCATGGAGATTTATACATGCCTGAGTAACAATTGTAGCTAGTTTCTAAATTTTACTAGAATAGATATAAAAACAAGCTTATCAAATAATCACGTAAATTGAAAAACTCTGTATTCATTACCTAGATTCTTAGTCTAGGTGCAGGCTTGGGCTCTTCATTTCTTTCTCTGTGGTCAACTTCCATCAACAGCTTGACAGAGGCCCTCTAAACTCTGGTACAAATGAGTTCCACCATACCAGCTGGTGTTGATCTCTCATCTGATCGGCGCCCAAGGATCATTGCTGCTAATATTTCTACTTGGCTTTTATCTGTTATAGCAGTATTTCTACGATTTCTGGCTCGGTGGCTCGCCAGAGCAGGATTTTGGTGGGATGATTGGTTTGTTCTCTTTTCATTGGTATGAAGCCTTGATCTCTTTGCTATCTTGACGTATTTTCAGCCATCGGTAACTGTCGACTAGATCTTTTCGGCCATTCCGTCAATTTTAGCTTGCGCTTGGGGTGAGTCCATGCAACAGCCTGCTTCTCTCGAGAATACACGCCAATTGGGCTGTTCGGAAATGTAGACCTCCGCCATGGCGTTGGGTTGCACGTGTGGGCCGCGCCTATAGACTCAGTTCCAATTTTCTTCGAGTCACTGATCATCGCGGAGATCTTCTATGTGATGACAACGGTTTGCATCAAATTATCCATTCTCCTGTCCTATCGACGAATTTTTCGGGTTGATTATGTCAAGACGGCAACAACGACCGTGGCGATTGTGGTTTTTGCCTGGGCCCTTGCTTGTGTATGATATGAAATCTCGCCATCGCTCTCATGTCTGGCACTAACTAGCTACATCTAAAGATTCTGATTGTCTGTCTTCAATGTATTCCGCTGCGAGGCTTCTGGGATAAATCAGTTCCCGCAAAATGTGGCGTTGATGAAAAAAATTATTTCCTTGGAAAATCCATTCCAGACACCTTGACAGATCTGTTTATTTTGATGATTCCACTACATCCAATCTGGAAGCTTCACACGAGCAGCATGCAGAAATGGATGCTCAGTTTCACTTTCCTACTAGGAGGGCTGTATGTTTTATTCCGAGGTTGGGGGCGCGGCCGGGTTTTTCACTGATTGATAATAGTGTTACCATCATATCCATTATCCGGCTTGTTTGCCTCCTACAGATTGATTTGAACGCGGAGGATATTACATGGAATTTTGTGCCCTACCTGATCTGGACCTGTGTGGAGTTGAACGTGGGTACTATCGCCGGTGAGTTGGGCTCGGGCCTTTCTGCAACGTCGTACAGTACTAATCCAACGATTATCAAGCATGTCTCCCCTGTCTTCGCCCAATTTATACACGTCTCCGAGTCAAAGCGGCTGTGTCACCCAACTTGCATCTTAGCGAGGTCAGGTTGGATAGTCGTCGTCGTTGGCAGCCCTTCCCGGAACAGGATGAACAATCCTATCAAGGATCAACAAGATTGAGTGTATGACTACGCATGCCATTTCTGTCTTCCGGTTGTTTACAGAGTACTCTGTTCTCCCTAAAGATCATGTGTTTTACAATGTACATCGAGGAACGTCGGTTTGTGACGAGAGCTGATTGGATTGGCACTTGTTGGATTGTCTAGTAGGGGACTAATCCTGAAGGGTTAGAATCTAAACTTGCTATGTTGCCTTGGTAAAGATAGAATAAGAGAACTATAACTAACAATATTGTATTGTTGATTTCTGTCTCTGTGGTATTTTCATCTGGTTGGGAAGTGAAGAAATCAAAATAACGCGTATGCGCTAATATGACCTAACTCTCTAGTTATACAACATTGAGGCAATCGCACGCAATTTATGCATAACTGTTTCGAAGCCTCTTATCTCCTTCTGCTGAGGCGTAAAACCTCGAATTATTCCTGCCACTTGATGGGCGGCCACAGATACCCCGGGCATCTCTCCAGGCACCGCTTCCTCATGTAGTTAGCGTGGCGGGACGCAGGCCTTACTGTTGACCTGCGTACGCTCTCACAGCTTCTTCTCCTCCTCTAGACACTCTCGATATCATAATATGCCTTCTGTATGAGGCCTCTCTTAATAATTCATGATCTAATCCGCTTCCCAAAGTAAATCTCGCAGTTGTTTTCCAGCCATGGCTGCCACTCCCACTGCCACGTACTTGTTAAGGCGTGATCGAGTTGAAGCGCTCAGGTGCTATCAGCCAGTATCATATCCCCAAGACTCGCTCGCTAACATACCAACCCAGGCTTACATCGCAGCATTTATTATGGCAGTTACACATGAATCATCTCCTTCATCCGGCTATCCCTATCAAAGATGACATTTCAATTGCTGACATTGGCGCTGGCACGGGGTAATCAATTATACCTAATTACATACTCATGGGCACTCCAGATTAGAATCTAGTCTAACACATACTAATTACTCTCTATACACAGGATTTGGGCTGTGGAGCTAGCCACCCAGCTTGCCTCCTCGGCTAGAATCAGAGCATACGATGTCGCCGACACTCATTTTCCCCGTCGAGAATACTGGCCGTCCAACATCACATTCGACAAGCTCGACTCCCTCAGTGATCCCCCGTCATCGTTGGTCGGCAAATTTGATGTAGTTCATCTGCGCATGTGGGCTTTCGTTATCCGTGACAATGATCCGAGCCCGCTGATTCGACATGCCGCCAAATTGCTCAGTAAGTCTTCTTCCTACATGCTAGTTAATTATCTGCGCGACATTGGTCAAGAATTGAAATCTGAATCATTCCTTGTCTTCATATCCATAGAGCCTGGCGGTTATCTCCAGTGGGAGGACGCGCGATTCGGCAGCAACGTAGCCAAAGGCGATGCCGCTCTTCACGTTCAACAGATGATGGACAACATGGGTGGCGCCTCAAAGCTGAACTTCCAGTATGTAATACCACTACGCCATAACCTGCTACCCTGTCTTCTCCGTGCAGGCTCAAACGTGATGAAACACAACAGATAACTTACTTTTTGGTGGATTACAGGTGGCTCGACCAGCTCGACCAGCACGTGAAAAACGCTGGAGTGGACTTAGACGTCATTGATTGCCAGTACAAGTCTTGGTCGACTCAGCTTATTCCGCTGTGCACTGATACCTTCTTGGGGGCTATAGAGAATAGTGGCGCTATTTTAGAGCATTTGAAGAAGGTTGTACCATCAGTTCCCAGCCCGGAGGAATGGAACAACGGGCTTGAGACTCTGCATGGTGAGATTCGCAAGCCGGGTGGAAATGAGTTTTACTGGCGTCCAGTTACACTGTTGGCTAGGAAGTATGATTGATAAATGCCAATGTCGTGTCCTGAAGTTCAATGTTTTGACGGAGGTAAGATATAATCCATTACCTTATGTGTCAGTGTTCTCCTTTTCTCCCTTTGTCGTAAGTTGGACTGGATCAGTAAATGTAGAATTGATCAGCAGACACTTGGTCCCTAATCAAGAATCCTTCAAAATCAGTATATCAAGGATATACGCACGAATACAAAATATATTTTATATAACATCTCGTCAACAGTGAAGTACTAGCGAGGGTCATTATTTGCTCGCTATGAAGTGATCTATAAGGGGCCCATTTCAACAGCCTAGCTAGATGCGCTATTATGTTGTCGATGTGATAACTTATAAGGTCAAAAATAAGCACCTGCCGGTTACGGTCACCTCCTCCTCTAGGGCTCCGCGAGCCACGTGAGCACTGATCAGCCACCGAAGCACGCTGAGCACTTCGTGAGCAGGCCCGTGCGATCGATCAGTGATCGATCAGGCCCGCGCAGTGAGCGCTCTGGCATACTTCACTGCGCGTAAAGCGGCAGGCCAAGGGCGCACATATCTCACTGTTAGATCATTCCGGGAGACTCGCCTGCAGCCTGCCAACCACGCAGAGAGCCAGCATTTGCATTGGACTAATCCGTACATTTGCATCGATATGCGCTCTCGACAAGCCACCTCTGGTGGAATCAAGAAGACAGTATGCGTAGAGTACAGGCACCAAAAAGCTAGTACTGTCACGCGCTCCCACCAATGCGAATGCTAACCGTGATGCCAGTAGATGCGATGCGCGGGTGTCTCAGAGTCGGGGGTTCCCTGTTGGCGATGTCAGCGCCAGAACATACAGTGCATCTATTCAGCTCCGTTCCATCGAGTGCACAAACGAAAGTAAGCCTCGTTCTTCAACCACCGCCGCCCCCCCAATATGCTGTTTGACAAATCTGATTGCCATCAAGACGTATGCAAGAGCTGGAGAAGAGGCCTCGGCCCTACGACGAGAATTGCAAAATGCTACTCCTCCTACTATTGGTGAGCGCTGTACTGTAAGATGTCTGCTATGGCTCGCCCAGCTGATATTCAGAAGTGGCAAGAGCTCAGAACGACGAGCAGACGGAGGCTAGATCGATTGATGGACTCGAGCTTAGCTCTGCTATCATAGATCACTGCTTCGAGATATTCTTCCGGGACTACCACCCGTTGCTTCCACTTCTGGATCCTACAAATACCCCGAATGCTCTCTATGGGAAGTAACAAGTGCTCTTTTGGGTAGTAGTCTCTATCGGCGCCCGAAAGAACTCGGCCCATCCAAATCTGATAACTGCCCTTTCCCCTCGAGTAACTCTGCTTGTTTTGGCTTCGCTGAACACTCGAACTAAACCTCTTGAAGCAATAAAAGCTATGCTGCTCCTTATGGAATGGCCATTTCCGTCAACTTCCTACCAGTATGAGCCCTCATTTGTATTGAGCGGTGCACTTATCCACATGGCAATACAAAAAGGATTGCATGTCCCATGTCTTAGCAAGGAGACCCCAAAATTAGAAGCTCATTCTAGCTTCATTGAGTCTACCGCGGTGGAGAGGGCACGACTTTGGGCTTATGTTGTCATTGTATATTAAAGGTAGGACTTGCATAAAGCTCGAACTCAAGATTTCTGACTTATAATTCTGCAGGTCTTGTTCGGGGTGCGGATACCCCCCTGTATTGTCTGTCGATGCATATACCGAGCAAGAACAGTTCAAGATCATGTTATTTCAACTTCCCGCCGAACTACAACTACAACTACAGCTTACAAATATCGTTGCGCGCGTTCAAAAAACATTCATTCAATTTGGCGCACAGAAACTAGCTGCGCTATCAGAGCAAGGTTTGGATTCGGTTTTGAGAATGGCTGCCAATCAATTTGATAGCTTAGAACTTACAGCCTCCTCAAGTATGTATCATTAATCATGAACCTTATAAGATTAGACTAACAACAGCATAGGTTGGGAAAAGTTTCATGTGGCTATCTGCCGTCTAGAAGTACTTGCCATGCACTTTTTCAGACCATGGGAAAGTATCGATGTACAGACTTGTCAATCGATCTTCGACACCGCCCTTCATGTCTTCGCCTTCATAAGGGAGCAGGAAACGAATTATAAGCTTAGTAAATTTTGTCCGCGCTTCGTCTTCTCCGCACTCAAAATGGGCCAAGCTCTTATGTTTCGGCTACTAAAAGGGCCCTTTGCAAGCTATGTTGACGAAAAGCTTGGGACCGCAAAGTCCCGTGCAATGATCCCCTTTATGAATCCGTTTCTCTTGAAGACGATGACAAAGTTCATAGAGAAGTAACGATCGTGGAACAGATGTGGGATATTGACAACATGTTCAAGGACGCCGACGGAAATTGGAATGTTGCATTGCAAATTAAGCATAGACTTTCTGCGAGTGTGGTACATGAAATAGCTATTCGCTGGAGAGAAAGGCGTCTAGATATACAAAGACCTGGTGGTTTCCGGCAAGGTACCAGTAAGTTTGTTCCTTTTCATCGTTTAGCTAACAACTGATCATCTTCTAAAGCCGCTATCGATTCATTTCAAGATGTTTGCAACAATGAACAAAATAATAGCGTGGACTCCATACGCACGAATGCGTTTACGGATCCATTAAGTGGGCTCTTGAACGAATTTTACTTGGACCTGGACGGGCTTTTCGACTCACAAATTGTTCAATACTAGTCCGTTACAGAAAAGAAGAATATTTGGATCCATAGAATACTCGGAAATAGAGGTACATCAACACTGGCCACACATTATTAGATAGGCAGTATTATAAAAATAGACACAATTGTGTTAGAGCACAACTTTACACCTCATGAACTGATTTGGCCACCAGATATCCACTCCCAACTCAGAGGCAACTTTGAATACCCATTCCGGCTCCTTCAAGAATTGCCTAGCAACCAGTATTACATCTGCCTTCGCATGCTAGGCATCCTTGTCAAACGCCACATCTTTTGTTACCAGACCTTCCGCATTTGAGCCCTTCTCGGGCTGTTGCACGATTTTCTGGGCCTGATCTGCTGTCGTGATATCATGCAAACAGCACCGATCAGCAGCTCCAGGCCCTCAACGTGGATAGTATCTCTGATCCTGCCAGCAATATTCACATAGAAATCTATGACGTTAACGCCATCGAAAAGCTGGCCTGGGTTATTACCATCGCTGCTGATATCCAGCAAATCGACCCCTAGAGCAGGAAGCTCCCTGGCAACCCTGATTGTTGACTCGACATCCCAAGATCCCAGTGTCTTGTCCAGCTCAGTGTCTTCCATAGTATCTGTGGAGGATATGCGAAGGAACAGCGGCATATCGGGCGGGATAGCTTTCCTGACTGCTTGAATGATTTCAAAGAGAAGCCTTGTCCTATTTTCGTAACTACCACCATACTCATCGGTCCTGTGATTGGAGATCGGGGATAGAAATTGGTGTAGAAGATATCCATGTGCCGCGGCATCTCTATTACGCTCACTCCAGCCCTAACACTCCTTTCCGCTGCCTGTGCGAAATCATGTATCACTTCTCCAACCTCTTCACGCGTCAAAGCCTTGGGAGGCCAGAATCTATTCCACTCGGGGTCGAAAGAACCTTTAGGAGGGGTATCCCAGGCTTGGCTCTCCCCACCAGAAGGTCCCTTCACGTTATCCGGCCAGCCGTCAATGTCGACATCAGCTCGCTTTGACTTTCTCCCGAGCACCGTTAAGACCCAAGGCGCAGCTCACCGGTGGACTGGTGCAAACCCCCCTCTTCTCACCTCCTGCCATTCCTCATCTAATCCCGTCTTTTCCACTTCTTTCCCCTCCTCCTCGGTGGCCCCCGGCTCCCTCCCTCACCACGGTCCGCCACCTGTATCCCCCTCTGCTGCCCATCCTGCTACCCGCTCATGACCCTGCTGCTGCCTGCCCAACTAGTCCTCCACATCTCCTGCATGATGGCCGGCCTCAAGCCTGACTATCGTCAGGACGAAGGTCCGCGCCCTCCTCCAGAAACCCCGCTCCCTCTGCGCTGCCATTGTTGCGTCACCACAAAGTGAACCGGCGACCAGTATCCCGCCCACTAGGTTCATGATGGTGACCATTTTCTAGGTCCACTCCCAGAACATTTTTGTTGCTGTTACTGTTACTGTTGCTGTTGTTGTTGTTGTTATTGTTGGTGCTGCTGCTGCTGCTACTGCGGTAGTGTGTTGAGAGGAAAGATAAAAAGAGAGAAGAGAAGAGAAGAAAAAACTGAAGAAAGAACACCTGGTGATGGGGCATGGTTGCCGCGCTAGACAAAGAGCGCTTGAGGAAGGAGCGAGTGGCACCTGCCTAAGGCTGCACGTGCATTCTAGAGGGCATATATAACATACTCACTAAACAGTCAAAGCAATAGTTATGGCCGGATTGAAATGCCCACCTGGCGTCGGCCCAGCAATGATAATGGTGAACATGATTCTAAGTGCAAACGCAAAGCCAATCTGGAAAAAACTACTATACACAGTGACTGGGGGTGCTGCTGTTGCTGAATTAGCATGAAGCTGGCAATAGACGCTAGGCTAGGGAAGCTGTGATAGAACGTGAATCATTCAGACTTGTCCCATTATCTTGCCTGTCTACCTCCACAGTGTGTTCCTTATCACATTGCAGTACAAACGGAGAATGCATACACGTAAAGAACCATGCCAGTTGCCTCGCTGACACATTCACGCAACCATTGTGGCTGACGTCTCTCAAAATCTAGCACCCGCTGGGGCATGGGTTTGTGTTGACCAACGTGGCGTGTTGCATGGCGTTGGAGGACATTGGAAATTCCAATCTCGATGTTGTAGGTTTACAAGCGACTTAATTCAGCGGTATGTTATGACATTGCTTCTTCTTTTAACCAAATAAACAAAACAGGTATGAATAAAAACTAAGGACAAAGGCAATTGAAGGGTGAGGAAATGAAACCAGATGGAAAAAGTTAAGGATACAAGCAGGATGCACCGGCTTCCTTATACCCAGGGAGATACCTAGGTAATTCCAGAAAGCACCAACTGCCAACGAACTACAAGTGATTGAAGTAAATGGGATGTGCACTGACAGGCTGGGTTGCCAAAGTATACCGCATGGAAGGCAGAGCCCAGACCATTTTTATCTAATTTAGCATCCCTTCAGAGCCAGAGAAATAGCGAAAGGCTTAGCCAAGAGAACATTTACCTATATATTTGATCTCAGGAAGCTGGAAATGCCGGGTCCGGCAATATTTTCTTTGTGCAACACTTGTTCAACTCTGCTGTAAATTGAACACTGCCTCCGCGTCGCATAGGGATTGGTTGTGATCTAAGTTTGGCCATGTCACACTTGGAAATGCTCCAGGTTAAGCTGGGCTGTCTGGGAGACGCTGATAGTGATAAGTATCTATAACTTGACAACAACCACCTTGAATAACCCAAATGATAACTTTACATGATGCTGGGGCTTGTTTCTCGAATATACACCAGAAAATAGTCATGCATGATTCAAAGCCGGAACTAGAACTAAACAAATGGCAAGGAAACATTTCCCAATAACAAAGTCAATGACAATGTAACAATAACTGGTCTAATCTAGATTAGCCTCAAGCCACTCCAGATCATTCGAGGCCACCACTGGTGCTCCCGCTGAACCTCGGATGAATGTCCAAACAAGCGGTATGGACCACAGTCGGCAGAGGACAGTACACATGATTATTGGAATTATCAAGAAAAGAATGCTTATTTAGTGTTGTAATTAAGGCCTCGCCATTGTTATTGCCTAGGCAGGCGTGTCATTAGAGTTGGCCATTCCCCACAACGTCAACTCCGCACCCGCCCTATACCTATCTAGGATCTAAATCCGGGGTAACTTAGCTTGGTGGGTCATCAGCCGTCTTATCTTTGGATGTATGTGTTTACATCTCGATATAGATTATGAGATGGAGATCCTGGATATCCACGGTCCATTCACTGAAGCACAAGTAAGTAGATATTAATAGACGAAGAAGAAATACAGGCAAAGAACTAGCTCCCGATAGACACAAAATTATCTTCTAGCTAGTCTACCTCCTTAGATGGTAGTAACTACGCACTATATCAAGCGCAATAATTCAACTCTCTTCAATATGTTCCCCCTGCGCCTTGGCCTCCATAACAGCGTCTTCAGTGGCAGCATCGAGGTCCTCAATTTCGACCACGCGGTCTCCAAACGAGGCCGCGATTTCTTCCAATGTCTTCTTCTTCGTCTCGCTAGATGCATACGTGTTAGCGCTGGCTTATATCCAGTGTCTGCCGGATGGAGAACAAAACATACGGGAAATAAAAATATGCGATAGTGAAGAAGAATAGAGTACATCCTACAAAGACGTAGTAATAATTCTCCTGGATGTGTGCGAAAGCGGTGGGACCGGCTTCAGTGACTGTTGAAAAATCGAGTGGATTTCATGATTAGACAACAATCTAGTTTACTATGCGCTCAAAGGTGGATCTCATACCAGCCACGTTGACAATGAAATGGGATGCAGCAGCGAGTCCCATGACTTTGCTTCGCATATTTATGGGAAGCACTTCGGCGCCGTAGAGCCAGGTTGTGCTATTGAGCATGCCGTCTAAAGGTTGTCAGGTTAGTACGTCTGAACCTAATATGAACATAGAAAATAAGACGTAAAAAAAGAGATTGGCGGATGATTACAATAACAAACGGCAAACAAGAAAATGCCTAGAATGGCAAACCCTTTACCGACTCGGTTGTTGTTATATTGAAATTCCCGCTGCATGACGGCTGTATAGATTTCAATGATGATGATTCCTCCCATACCGGCGAGGATCATTCTATAAGTGTTAGCAATGAAGTATTCGTAAGTAATAGAAAGGATACATGCAGGACTAACTTTCGTCGACCCCATTGATCTGTGAGATACATGGTGGTCAAGGTGTTGACTATGAATGCGATAGTGCCGTAAACTCCTGACAGAGCGAGGATGTTCATGGCACTAACTCCGAGGGAGTCGTAGAGGGTAGCTACGTGCATGTAAGTAATACTTGCAGGAGATAGAGAATAGAGTCACAGTCTTACTTTGGTAATACTTTGACGATCTTGTTAGCAAAATTGCCCATATAAGCAGATCTGAAAATACTCACCTGAATAACATTCACCCCCGTCAAAGCAGTCATAGTCTGCACAGCGACAGAAACCAAAACTCGATGCCGATACAACTTAAAAATCTCTCTGTAAGACGTAAGTTCTCGCTGCATCTCATACTCAATCTGAGCCTTCATCAACGTAAACTCTTCATGGACCACGTGTGAGAGCAAATCCCGTCGAATTTTGATGAATTCTCTTTTGGCCTCCTCAATCTTCCCCTGCCGGATGAGCTGACGCGGCGAATTCGGCATGAAGGTCGCTAAACCGATGAACATGATCACGCCCCATGGGAGTTGGATTCCGAGCGGTAAACGCCATTGTAAGGCTCCGTAGGGTGCCCATGCACATGCGTATCCAACCCAATTGGATGCCATGGTGCCAAATGCGATGCCAACGCCAGAAATGCCGCCGATGAGGCCGCGGTGCTGGGGGGCAGAGATCTCGGAGAGATAGACGGGCACGGTGGCCACCATGCCACTATTTATATTAATACACCCGAATTTGTACATGTACCACATAGTGGATATAGGTGAAAGAAAAAGGGAACATACCCAACAGCAAATCCAGCCACAACACGGCCAGCTAAGAACATGCCAATATTGACCGATGCGGTTTGAATAGTACATCCAATAGTCACCACAGCGCACATCAGTTGCATGAACCGAATACGACCGAGTCGATCGCCAATCGCCATTTGTGTAAGAGCGCCAATTGCCTCGCCGGCAATGTAGACCGATGGCACGGCACCGGTTAATCCTTGGGACGGGTGGCCCATGTACTCTTTCCAGCTTTGATGCGCGATGGCTGGTCTTTTCGTCAGTTCTTGCAACGTTATCGTGAAATATAAGACTGACTTGTAGTGGCGATGCCAGTGTCGAAGCCCTAGGATAAGATCCAGTCAGTGTCCGCCATTGTGAGATTCTGCTTGAAGTCAAGCAGAGAAACATACGAAGAGAAAAGTTCCAATGGCAGCGAACAAGGCAACGCCAAACGTGTACCAAATATGGCCCCCCATGTTGTCGTATGTCTGTTAAGAATTTCTGGGAGTACAATTTCTAGGATGAAACAATTGTAAAGACAAGCAGCAGCCTCCAGCTTTATAGGGCGATCCCGGTACAACCGAAGCAAGGAAGGCTCTATGCAAATCCCGAAACCCTCAAAGCGTGGGGGTTACCCCATACCCCGGAATACGGACGACAAATCACAATTGGTTATCAAGTGGGTATTTGATCGATTTATCAGTCAACCCCGCATTTGACACGAGGGGAAGAAGTAATTGATTGGCATGGGGCTTTTATGCTTTGCATAGAATCCAGATGGGGAAAGTGTGGCGAGCTGCAATGTGTCTACTATCATCGAATCATCCTATTTGGACAAGAACGACATTTTTCGTCGTTTCAGGAGTGCTTAGTTGGGCAAAATGACGTAGGAACTTTCTGTCACAATGGCTCGTTTTTCACCAGATGAACATGCATTGCTCGCTGAACTGAAGGACACAAATATGACTCAGCCGGAAATGTCACACTATCCTAGAAGTTGAAGCAGTCAAGGAAAGTAGCATGCACTTAGATTTTTTCTAAGAAGACCGAGCGGAGAGAAAAGTACGTAATTCACAGGGGGAAAGTCATGCGAAGTGATGAGTGAAGCGGTTTAGAAAGTGGCCAATGAAAAAGACCAAGAATATTGAAAAGCTGTTCTACAGAGCGAGAATGGAAAATGGCGATTCCAAATTATGCCGAACAAAAAGCAAAGGACGCTCGTTCATATGATGATTGTTTTAAGTTAGCTCAGCTCATAGTTCTAATCCTGATTCATCGTAAATAGAAACCTGGTAGTTGGGTGGGTGCGAACATCTCAAATTGGCCCCCGTTATACACAGCACCAGTTTCTGGATGATACATTCTGCTCAGCCAGTCTGCAAATGAGCGGCAATGACGAACCAATTCAGGGTTGATGTTTCCATATGATATTGCACGAAATGTGGGAGAAATTTGTGATCCGATGAAGCCAATATAGCTAGACACATGAACCTCAATGAACCCATCAGGGTTAATTGTGGCCGAGTATCTTGTCTGACAAGGAGTGCATCTATAATAACTTTTTGTTTCTATACATCGAAGAAGCTTCTTTGCCGAAGACTTAACTTGGTGGTGTGGACACATCGGAATCACTGCATTCTTGCACAGAGTATGGAAGCCATCTAAACCGAAATCTGAGAGCCTCCCAAGGTAGAACCGGGATGAGATACACTTGGTCTCGAGATTTAACTCTATATTTTCTGAAAAGCAGCGACCGGCAGGGATTCTAATAGACTGCCCAGCGTTGCCTTCGCAGAATATCTTTGCAAGCTGTAGGGTCCGAAGCTCAGCAAATGACATTTCATAGCACATGCCAACCCATATTCTTCTGCATGTCCATCTGCAGCTTCGGGTAATAGCATATGAGCAGTTTACCCTCTGCTCTTCAATTGAGAGCCTTAAATTGACGCGTTTCTGTGGGTATCTAAAGCATACTTTTCTATGAGTTCTCATACACGCCCAGCAACAGAGAGACTCGTCGCCCATCCCATAACGTTTATCAAATTCCATCAGTCGGAGGATATAAAACCTGATTTCAGCAAGGTCATGCCTATAAGGCTGATTTAAGCGTGGTTGACAAATCAGTCTTCGGACCTTGACAAAGGTTGGAATATCAGTTCTGGCATGCCAGAAGCGAGCGCAGCATATCATTAAACAGAAAATCTCTGCGGTAGGAAGGAATTCGCAGATCTTCCAGATCAACTCAGCAGGAAGGCAATAGAGAGATGCTGGATTTCGCGCATTGACAGTGTCCGCTCGTACTAACTTCGCAATAAGAGTTAACGTCTGAGAGTGCTGTCTCCTGTAATAATCGATCAGAGGCATGTTGTAGGGCAAGTATAGCAGTGAGGGCTCGCGCACACGCACACACACACACACACACACACACACACACACACACACACACACACACACACACACACACACACACACACACACACACACACACACAGAGAGA